GGATTAAGACCACTACTTCAGTCGCAAAGTATATACGATATTTTTCGTACTTCCGAAACTGAAACACTTAATATGTATGGAGTTAGAGAACGCGTTCTTTCAAAAAATCGCTGCTTAACAAGTTACCATAGGAACGTTGCGTTGGTATGACAATCCCTATGCTATGGTAACAAAAATAATTTGGAAACTGTCATTGCTAGTGTCTTAATTTGGTGGTGGGTGACAAAGGTGCATTTGATATTCATAAAAAGCAGCCAAAGTAGGTAAAAAATTGATACCACGGAAATCCAAAAAACTATATGAGCAGCAGTACGACGCGTTTAAGAAGTAGTGCCGCATACAAAATGTGGAACAACCTACTGAAATTGCCTTGTTAGTAATTTCATCCTTCCGGGATTTTCGTCCACATTTAATCCCGGCGGGACAAAAAGTGACACTTTAGTACTTGTCATAATGGAGTGAAGTTGTCACTTTAGTCTCGGAAGTACGAAAAAATATATATTTATCTGTCTGTCATACGTTCTGTAATTTTGTATTTAAAAATTACTTCTCAATTAGTATCAATCACATACGGTGCTTCCCAAGCAATCTTCACACTTATGAATGATAATTCTTATTTCGCACTCTTTAATACTAATCCAATAGGGCATTCCACTCTCTAGAGAGCATCATATGAAGAAAAGCGTTAGCGCCGCCAAAACCTATAAAGCCGTTTTGACTTACTAATTTGAATATGAAGTTCCTTATTATTTAATTTTTCACTCAACGTTATTATTGATAATGCTCACTAATGGGGCGAAAAATAACTATTAACGATTGATTTTTTTATTTACACCGATTCGAGTACCGATTCCTTCGGCCTTCGTTCCATAAGACCAGCATAAGACATTCGTGTCAATTCGTTTCCATCTAATGGCAATGCGGTGACCACTGCGAGTAAATTGAATTTTTGCTCTTAGAGTAACCATGATTCTTAAACTCATTTTATTCTTAAAAAAATGCTTTTTTAAAGTTACGTTTACCTCGACGCCAATTGTAATATATTAGGTACCTACCTCCTTGCTAATATATTATGTAAAGGGTACGTTACAAACGAACACAACGAATGTTTCTAACTTTATTTTACGTTAATAAGCAAATGGAATGCGTTGAGCCACCATGAATGACATTATTGACATTATACTTTTGTAACTTCAAGATTCAAGAATCAAGTATGTGAGTGTGTGAGTGAGAAATGGCGCACATTATTAAGTATATATTTTAAGATATTCCATTAACAAATAGATATTGGCACTTGTAAAAGCATCGACAAGCATTTATCTTTATCTTTCTAAGGCCCCAACCTCCCAGTTCATTCACTTATCTGTATTTTTAACCCAATACGTGTGATCGGTCCTGCATATGCAATACAAAACAACGTGCCAGACAAGGATGAGAATACCTACGTTATGCTGGTTGCCTAAAATCATTGCGGCACGCGATTTTGGCGCTCGATGCCGTTCCAGTTACAGAGTATACCTATAGTTCAATGATTTTATTTTTTCCTCGTTGACGCCTCCTATGTACATATGTATGCCAAAGGAAAAATATAATGACTAATGACTAACCATAAATTCAATGGTAGGAGTCCTTTTCGTATCACCCAGCTCAAGCCGCTGTAAATAGACTTAAAAATCGCGCGAAGCGACTGTCATTGTGACATGTAAGTTGCTTGAAATTTTTCACAAGAATTGCTAACTCCGACTATTCCAATAAGTATAGGGTATGTTAAAATTTCAGTGCCAGATATCGGGGACCCCTAAGTTCACCACGAAACGTACAAGTATAGTACGGACGGGTATTTTTTTGGTGGTGGTTTCATGGTATTTTCCTTTCAGTTTTCGATACTTCAAAGGCCACCATAGTGCTATAGGTAAGTTTAATGTGATCTCAAAGATCATTCCAGTAAGCAGGAAGTGGTGGAATGAGGACGCACTAACCACAACAATACGCATGTGTGGGGGGATATTTACCTACAATGTTAGGATTAGGACGCAGGTACTTTGGCAATAAATTCAAGAAATGTGATATATAACTTATGAATATTATGCTACCCAGTACCCATACAAATCCATAAATGCGTATGGAGAGATATTTACTCCTATCCTTTATAACTAATATGTATGTGCACTGTGCACTTACCTCTCTTAATATCTTCAACGTTTAACTATTATACCGTAGTGATATGTGCACTAAATTATTTGTTACATGTTCACTAATTATCACACATTATCACTAATAATCCAATATTTATTTAGAGCACGTCATAAGGAAAATTAATCAATTAATACTTTTGTATCTCGTATCTCAAAATTTGTTTCTTAATTACAGGTGGTTCCCTGTTATTAGGTACATACTTATGAAAGGCTAGGGGAAATCCTGAGTCAAAGAAATTCATAGTACTTATAGAGAAAAATTATGAACTCGAATCGAATGGTTAGCAGCTTGTGTCGATAATGTCATTCCCAATTACCTAGTAATTATCCAAAGATGCTGGGTCCAGTAGGTACTAATTTGATCCACATAAAAAATCATACAAATGTTAAATTCTACCCATCCGTGCGAATTACTCACACATTTTCCTTGTCGTTGACCTACGTCTTGCCCCTTTTATGAGAATATAATTAATGGGATAAGCAGGCCAACAGTGAAGAGTACCAAACGTTTAACAAGATACGAAGCATCGCATAGATTTTCAGTAGGGGAATTTCTTGCCACTCAGTTCGTATTTGGAAACCAGACTTTTGATCCGGCTCATATTTAATAGCACTGAACCTTGAACTCGTAGAAATCGATTGGCGAAGGTTTGACATCGCTGTCTCTTTTCGTTTTCGAGTTAGACGAGGAACAGACGGACAAAACCATCAGATAAGGGAAAATTTTTTTTTCGAAAATTTCTCCTACAAACGGGAGCTTGGGAATTGGTGTCTGCATTCGATTTCTGACGGTCAACTGATGAATCCTAAATTTGTGACACTGAGAGGATTGCACTTACCTATTACCTACGTATTTTGCAAAATGCCGGATTTCGCAGTTTGTAAGATAACATATATAACAAATAATACGAGGGAAACAGTATTATCCTTGTATTTGTTAAGGTAAATAAGGCAAACTAACTAATTGTACACATAAATGTATATAAACTAAATACATATAAAAATATAAACAACGGCAAGTATCAGAATACGGAAAAAGTTATATATAGTACATGTCAAACATTAAATAATTAAATTTGTAATTCAACACTTCCTCTCAAATTTAATTCTTTTCGTCCTATCGGTCTTAGTGTATTACGAGCATATGCATAACGCAAACGTCTCAATGGTTTTGTAAAGATATCACCTAATGACTAATTAATCAGCGCTGAAGATGTAATGCGATCAAAAACAAAAACGGGTCCGTTCTGATGACATAAAACTTTAGTAACGGATTGTCGCATAATACAGATACCGGGTGATCGGAAAGTAGTGCGGACAGTTTGAATTTCCCACAAAACTAAACATTTATAAAGTTGGTAACATACCAAATGTCATTTATTTAAAAGCAGTGGTGGATCATAAATAAACCAACTTCTAAACATGTTTGCCAATTCCTTAAGTAAAAAACACTAAAAATTTAAAGCGCCAAATTTAAATTGTCTGCAGTTCTTTTCGATCACCCGGTAGATACTGCACCAATACCACAGATTGTTTAAATCTGTGCCAATACTAAACAACCAATAAAATGTTTGATACGCCAATTTGAACAGTTTCAATTTGAGATTTCAATAGTTTTTGAATTGTAGAGATGAAATTTAGTAAAATAATTCATAATTCATGTGCACAATTTATTTTCAAAATGCCCACACCATTATTGAGATAGTAGGCGTCCACTCTTGTCTTATTTTATGTTCAAAACTCGGTCTGGTTGCTCTGGTGTTCTGAACAACTCCCTGTACCTACAGCAGCTCGCAGTTTTTCAAGGATGTGTAATCGATTTCGATAAATAACATTTTTCAAATCACTGAATAGAGAGTAAGTCCATGGACTAATTTTAGTCTATGCTTAAAGTAAACAATGTCTCTCTCTCTGTAAATCTTGTGTGATAATACCATTGTATATACAATGATAATACTTATCAACTTGAACCCTTGAACGTAAAATAATACAGTCAGATAAACGTTTACATATTTACAAGTATAGGTAGACATTTGTGCAGACCAGATGGATGTAAACGAAAAATTTAAACTAGTGCTTCCCTATGTGAAAGTAAATGTTTGGTGAGTATAAATCTAATAATGGAATTTTATCGTATCAAGCGATTACGTTCACGCGAAGCAAATTTAGTACATCGCGATGTTATGCAATTGAATGTTAATGCCGGTTGTTTGATGTCTATTTACAACGTTTCATTTTAATTTTAATTGGCTTTTTGTCGATGTTGAAATAATATATTCATAGGGAGTTTCTCCTTTTGGATGTACTTATTAGTTTCAATGTTGAAGCATTGCGGGATGAACTGATTCAACAGAAAAATGTGTTGTAGGTATATTCCACCCATGTAACGGGCGATCAAAAATGAATTGCTGTCGAGTCGCCTTTTGGAAGTTCAAGTTAAGTACCTACGATTTCCCATGTAAATAAAAATTCCAAAGGTGACTCGACCGACAGTAACTCATTTTTGATCGCAAGTAGGCTCCTATATCTATAAATTCTATAGTTTATAAAAACACGCCGATTACATTATCTTTCGTACTCCAAACTAGAGACTCAGTTCGTATGGAGCAAACTTTTGCTCTTCAATATCTACTCTGAAAAACAATGACAGTTTGTAACACTACATCTAGGGATCTAAAACTGAAACGAAACGCAAATTGTACAACTTTTGTAACATTGTTAATTACAAGTTGGCTTTTATCAAAGAATTTAAGAAAACTCTCACGAAACGATTAATATTGTATCAAAAATCAAAATGCAAATAAATATGACATTTAGGCATTATGAAAACACTAATCACTCACACGTGGGGCTGGTATATAGTTATCCATGCAGACGAAAACCACAGAGGAGAGGAATGTCCCACTGACAGAAACAATCAGCTTTTTACTACAAAAAGCGTTGAATGATAAGTACATTTATCTTTGCACATTTATTTTGACAAAACTTATCCACAAGCTCAGATCTCAAAATTGCAAATAATAAAAAAGAAGTTGTAAAGCCCATTTTTGGTAATACAGAGCAGTATTTTATTAGCAATCTCACGAGTAATCTAACTTAAAATAGATTAGAACCTGCACATCTGCACTGTAGCAGAAAATTTGAAGTCTTTAGCTACTGTAATTGCTGAGATCTCAACTGGGCAACAAGCCAGCCATAATGAATATAATAGTGTATTTTTTAAATGCGCTAAAATATACTTTAGCTTTAGCACATCTTGCCGCCCCTCGAAAGTGGCGCCCTGGGCTATAGACCAGTTAGCCCATTTATAACTGTGTGTGTCTGTGATTCTTGTTGAAATGGTTGTAGTTTTAAAATGAAATGAAAGTATCGACGAAATGTGTACCAAAGAATATAGGGGTCCCCACAATTTAACGTGATTTTGCGAAAGAATTTTAGCATCCCAAAAAATCAACACCTTCTTTCTCTACGTGATTAATTTGTATAGTAGCAATTCAGTTCAGAATTGTTCCAAAAAAAGTACCTAAATAAATATAAATGAAGATAAACTTCAAAAGCTTGCTTGCTGATATCCTTTTCGTAGTTTCACACTCAAAGGTGTTGATAGATCTGTTGTGTTGAAATAATTATTGCAAGTTGTTTATGCATTTAGTTCAGTTCATTAAGCTAAAGATTACACCAGAAACCATTTTAAATTTGGAGTTTTATGTATTAAGAGTTTACTTGCTTAAATCTAACTTAAAGCACTATCTGCTTCATTCTTATTTGATTTTTACTAGAGAGTAAGTATGTAATCTATTAGACTGGCAAAAACGTGAAGTTAATAGCTGGTAGTTAGTTGTCATTGCGTAGGTACGGACTGACGGACAACACGAAGACGTGCCGCTCCATAAATATTAAATCTGACCCTGTAATTTTTTTGACATTTATGGAGGTGTAAGACATTATACTGTAACCCATTTATATAAAAAGGAACAGCTCAATAGGGGGGAGTTCGGACCGGAGCTACCAAGATAACCCCGTCTGCTCTACCACTCAACCCTTCAGCAATCTATATACATATATACATTTTTCAATAGCTGCATTTTTTTAGGGAAGACTATGCAGAGTTAGCGACTACATACAACCCCGTGAATTTAGGCATGGGGTATCCTGATTTTTTACCACCTCATCACATCATCGATGCTTTAACTGAGGTTCTAAGCTCAGAGGATGTTATGTTACAACAATACACGAGAGCCGAGGTAGGTATTATCATTAAAATTGAGCTCGTTTCCGTTGCAGTATAACTTTTTAGGGGCATCCCCGATTAGTGAAAGCGTTAGCCAAAATGTATTCCCCATCAGTGAATAGATTTATTGATCCTCTTGAAGAAATAATAACATTCGCCGGTGCATTTGGAGCCCTTTACTGCACTATAATGGGGCATATCCAACAAGGGGATGAGGTCATTATAATAGAACCTTTTTTCGATTGCTATCAATCCATGGTTATTGCAGCCGGTGGTACTCCTAAATACATCCCATTGCGCTTTGTGAGTACTGATCACTACCTCAATAAAAATGATATGATAACACTACCAATCTTAGCAAGACGGGGATGCAACGCAATCAAGTGACTGGGTTCTTGATTTCAAAGAACTAGATGGCCTCTTTAATAGTAAAACGAAAGCTTTTATTCTAAACACACCGCACAATCCATTCGGGAAAGTATTTAATAAAACAGAGCTGTTGTACATTGCACATCTTTGTCAGAAATGGAATGTCATGTGCATTGCAGATGAAGTATATGAATGGTTGGTTTATGAACCAAAACGACATATTAAAATGGGTACTGTTAACTGTCGTAAATCCCCTAATTCCGGATTATGCCAAATAACTTCTAATTTTCAGCATCGTTACCGGGAATGTGGGAGAGAACTATAAGTATAGGATCGGCAGGGAAGACACACTGCATCACAGGATTGAAAGTAGGATGGGCTATTGGACCAAAACATCTTTTAATAAACTTACAAAGTGGTCCAAAGTTGCCCTCTTCTCCCTTTGCGCAGGTGAATTTACAATAAAGTAATACCATACACCAATATTTTGTTATTGATTTTAGGAAGCCATTGCTATCGGCATCGAAAAGGATTTAGCGAGGTTTGGTCAAGATGACTGCTTCCAGCAATTGTTAAGAAAAAGTCTCAAACTAAAAACTGATTACATGGTAGAAGTTTTACGTGAAATTGTCATGGAGCCTATTGTACCTGACGCTGGTATTTTCTTGGTCGCTGATTGGGCATCGTTAGGTGAGATAGCAACATAGTACCTACAGGTATAACGTTCTTTAAATCGTCGAACTATATAGAGGCAAAAGTCGATTTCTCGAGTGAAACGGGCACTTGCAAAGATCTGCAGTTTACAAAGTGGTTTATAAAAAATGTTGGAGTCCAGATGATTCCTGTTAGTATTTTTTATAGTGATGCAAACAAAGGATTGGGCCAGAATCTCGTAAGGCTTTGCTATATCAAGGTTAGCCGAAAAAAAATTTTTCTATTTCGGTGTCACAATGATGATTTTGTACAACTGTTTTCGGCCGAAAACAGTTGTACAAAGACGGTGATTATAGTCGTTTTTTTTTGGTAACTCATCTCTTAAGTTGGCAGTTACTAGTTAGTACAAGTAGGTACTTCGTTGGGTACTTCCATGTTTGAACTTCAAAATGTCCGTCTTACTACGCTGCCAACCCAAAACTTAACGGCATAAAAAGTGTTCCCAACATAACAACATGCTAGTTCTAATGTTCCCTATAGTTTCTGATAATGATTTTTTAAATTAAATTAAAGCACCGAAATAGAAAAAATAGTATGAAAAACGCGTGTTACAATGCTTTATTGTAATACTCCTATCTTGCGGACACTCGTGGCTACGCTTCGCGTCGCCACTCGTGCCACAAGATAGTCGTATTACAATAGGTCGCATTGTAACACTTGTCTTTCAATATACTATTCTGCACTGGGCTCCTAATTATTTTTTTATTTCAGAAAGACGAATGTCTCCAGAAAGCAGCAAACGTTTTTCGAGAATGGAAGACACGAAAGTCTGTTTAGACTCAACTTTATGTTATTAAGGAACCGTTATAAATACTATTGAGTTAAACATAGTGAAGAAGATCTTCCTAGATAGACTCAATGTTGTGCTGACAACTTTTCAACTAAAATCAGTCATCTGCGCATATCCCGCTGTAGCCTTCTTACGTATATTATCAGATTATCAGCTTAGATCACCACCACGTCGCTGTAGGAGTTTAAATAGGATTATCTTTCTGTGTTCTGAAATAGTCCCATTGACAATACATGTACAAAACACAGTTATCTTTTTATTATACATTACTTACTTGTAAAATAAAAAAAACAATGCGAAAGCTTTGATTATAATTATTTTATATTTTATGACCAACCGTGGGTGTCGTCGTATTGACTACTGCACAAAATTTATGTATAATAGGGTGGTTCGACATTTTTTGTATTTCTTTTATTCTAACTAACATTGAGAGATTTTGTTATTAAAAAACAATAAAAAAAATTTGAGGGCAAAATATTGTATTTATTTTGTGCACAATGCTGCAAAGTTATCAAAAAGCTGGTTCTCGAAATTTAGTTACTAAATGTGAGTGTGGAAATGATGTAAGAGTTGTATAATTCCACTACTGGACTGTTCTGAGATTTCTTTAAATTTGCATTAGCCGAAAACTCCATTTCCACATTAACATTGGGTAAATTTCGCCATTCAACTTTTTTTATACCCTGGCAGCATTGTGCATACAGCAAATAAAATTAACACATCGGTTCCAGTTTACGTGAATTCGTATAATCTGCCAACCCGACGGCAAATATGTTGGCTACTGACGTCACGCGGTCTAGTCTCGCGCGCAGGTACGTTTTTTCTCTTCGCGCTGACCCTTACAGGGGACGTAAATATCAATATGTTGCCCTCACATTTTTTTATCGTTTTTTAATATCAAAATTTCCCGATTTCAGTAAAAATAAAAAATGTCCAACCTGCATATTGAACAATTCACATTTCACAGACGTGCAGATGGGATAATATTAAACTTTTCGTGATAAAAAAGAAATACTCTAAACCAGAGACACATGGAAAGTGGTCGGTTCTCCATTAATTGGACAATCATCCTCTCCGTATCTGGACTGATCTAATTCGAATGCTCTTAAAGTATTCCGAATTTCTGTTAATGTTAATTAAAGGTTTTGAAGTTCTTTTATTATCAGATTATCAGCTTAGATCACCACCACGTCGCGGTAGGAGTTTAAATAGGATGATCTTTCTGTGTTCTGAAATAGTCCCATTGACAATACATGTACAAAACACAGTTATCTTTTTATTATACATTGAAAGCAGATTATTGAACTGTGAATGTTGGCTAAATAAATATGATTATTGATTATGAACATATTTTTACATTATTATTATTGATTACAGAAAACTTCTAGTAGCGAGGAAATTTTGTCTGGCTGTGCATCGTGAATATAGTAAAACAGGTCGCATACGATTTTCAATACCTAGCGGCATTTTTTGCCACACAGTTGGCATTCGTAAACCAGACTTTTAATCCGGCTAATATTCAATAGCCGTTATCCTTGAGCTCGTAAAAATCAATTGGGGAATGTTTGAGTTAGAGGAGGAACAGCGACAGACAGACAGATGGACAAAACCATCACATACCTAAGGGAGATTTCTAAAAACGTCATATGTATTGTTTCCCAGGTATAAGACTTAGTTTTCCCTGCCGTGGCTTATGGAAACTAATTCGTCGTATGTGAAAGTTATGCACGTTATTCTTTCAAAAACAACATCTCAGGAAATAATTCGTGGGGGGGGGGGGCCTTTTAGACAGCGAAATTTGATGGCCGTCTGGCACACCTTCAAGGTATAGGCTACCTACTGCAAAAAATTCCAGGAATCTAGGACCATTCCCCTAGAAGTAGATCGAAGCGGTAGAAGTGGGTCCGGACGGACGGAGAGACAAAACGTAAACAATAGCACATTTTTTTTAATTCTTAAAAAACGCGCTAAAAAATGCATAATTGACGTTTGACGGAATGACCCTATTTTTGGACACGATAAGAAAAATCTGACATGAAAGCTCTATCCGGGTCGCACAAAGGATTCGAATAAACACAATTAATTGATTGACAATGACAAACATGTATTCCGAAACACAATGAAAGAGAAGTTTCCAAAGCTTGTATTAACATAATACACCGCACGCAAGCGGTAGATAATTATAAATTAAAAATAATCTTAAATTACGCACGGTGTTGTTTAAGAATCCAAATAATCTGTCGTAAAAAGTATGCGATATTCAGGCGCACCTATCAAAGACACAAAAGCACTCGCTGACAGCTTTAGGAAACTTCACTTCTTCTTTAATAAACTGAACTTAATGACTGGAACTGGCTCGGTAATAAGACGACAAAAATGTTGGTGGCTACCCGAACGGTAATAGCTATTTACATATGAGCAAAGAGTAATACTATGGGTACTCTTTGATATGAGTATGGTAAAGGTAAAGTTGGCGGTCCCGGCAGTTATATCACGGCTGTCGTTAAATCACACAGACGGCTGTGATGAGACTTGAAAACGTTTGTACCTAGGGAGTGCCACCCTTACGATACGAGCAGACAACTGCTTTGTTTGCTTATATTCGGACTAACTTTCTCTGAATACGGACAAACCGTTTTAAAAACTTTCAACAAACTTTTATTACTTCACTTGACGATACCTTAAATCTCGCTCAACTTCTTCTGCACCCTATATATTTCGAAGCTGACGAACTTCAACAAAACAAATACGGTTAAGCGCCCGAGATTTAGCGTAAACAAATTTACCATCGCGAAAACTAACAGCTAGCATCAGCAGCAGACGCCTCGTTGTCTTTTTGACTCCAGTATTGAAAGAAAAATTACTTCCAGCATAAAATAATTTCTTCTACAGAAGTTTCAAAAACGCTGACAATTCCAATTAGACTTGGTAACGCCCCACTTACGTCGAAAATAAGACGCACTTCCTCTTAACAACGATGATAAAACACGTACGTTAATTAACCCAAATAAAAAAATTACATAATTACACACAATTGCAAAGGGGAAACAACACAAAGACATACATTCAAATAAAACGAATCAACTCTCTGCTTATTTCGTAAATAATCCCCCAGATTTACTTTCATAAATTGAAATATTTTTATATACAGGACGTCGCGTCATTATTTTCGATGTTTAGACTGAAATAAACGTCGACATGACGTTGCGTTGTTTACACAACAGTACAGAGCTGGGTACTGCTCGCGAGCGTTCCGCTCGAAAAAACGCTCCAAGCGGAAAAAGTGCTTGCGAGCGGATCGCTCGCCCTTTTCGGAGCGGCCGCTTGGTTGGTACTCGATACTCGAGCGTTTACCTTAAAGTGCTCATGAGCTTTTTTTTCCGCTCGCAAACTCTTTTTTCGCCCGCGAGCTCTTTTTCCGCTCGCAAGCTCTTTTTCCGCTCGCGAGCTCTTTTTCCGCTCGCGAGTGCCTTTTCCGCTCACGAGCACTTTTCCCGAGCAATAAACCGCTCGAGCACTTTTAGGAGTGTTCGGAACTTGCAAGCGGTTTCGCTTTGCAAAACAACTCGATACTCGCGAGCATTTTTGAGAAAATTAGAGCACTCGTCTTCGGTCTGTAAATGGTCGAGATGCGCAAAGGGCACTGTGAATGCTGATCGATTAGGCTCAACTTTTGGAATTGTGTTTTATATGGCTAAAGCTATGCGCATATTGAATTTCATGTAATTCGGTTCATAACTAACGGAGATGTAAAAAGGACCTACTTTATTTTTTGGTCTACATTGCTAATTCACGAACTCCGATCTACAAATTTGATAAAGAATCCACTTGCAAAATTTCATCGTAATCGGTCCATTCGTTTATGAGTTATCGTGCTAACGAACGGACGGACGGACGGACAGACACCGCAAAATTATAAACTCGCTAGGAGTTCGTTAATAATGTTTAGTGTAGTCGACGTTCTACATTCAAAACAGCATTTAGTCTAAACCAGTTAAAGGTCTTTAACGGGCACTAAAAGTGGCACATTTTGTCTTCAAACCTCCATTTTCATTTAACAGTTTATATGTAAATTACTCGTACCAACGGCAAGCTACCTGATTGACAAACACTATTCTATATGCAGAGGTTTTCAATTATTGTTGATCAAAATGTAGACACCAACAGAGAGGGTTCTATATGTTTTGGATTTGGCTTTGTAGCCCAAAGTCGCTTACGGCTCCGATCTATTTCCCTTTTTCCGTAAAATATAATCCCCACTAAAAAACGGTGCGTACAAGGCCTTTCGATGATTACCTATTTAATTGTTATAACTGCCTATAGTGTGACATGATTAGATCCTGTGTACACTGTACACATAGGCTCTACAAAACTAATTCGAATTTGGACGAGGTGATTGATCTCTACACAGATAAAACTCACAATCTTTGACCTGCACGGTAAGGGCATAAGTGCATCTTACTTTGGATTAAACGTTCCTTTACTAATAGGATTATTGCTCTCGTATAGATATAATGTCCCCACCCTGGTCCCCACTGATTTGCAAAACACAACTTATCCGAGTGAAAATATAGATCTGCCAAGTAGAGATACGTAACTCAAGTAGATCTGAATCTGACTGAATAATAGAATAACATACTGTTATTTGTTAAACAGTATATTGTAAGTTAAATCTGTTCCTGTTAAATAACCCTATTAATTGTTAAATAGACACGTTTCTATTGTAGTTCAGGTGTATGCCATCTTTCCTCTGTTTGGTTATACTCGGCATACTTCGACTTTATTTGCGTAAGTGCGCGAAGAGTTAAATCTGCCAACATGGAAAGTATAGAAACCATGGTTTTCTAGTTCTCGTTAAAATTTAAAGGAAGAGGCCTGAGATCTCAAACTCTCAGAAGAACCATCAGCCTCCAAAAGTTCCAATCGCCTTTTGTAAGTAGGTACCTTCGTCCGACACTCCGCTCGGGACATATCAGAAATTATAATAGATCTTGACAATGGATTCAGAAGGACTGCGGTTGCTAGCAAAGCAATGAATTTCTTTCGTTGAGTTTCCTCAGTAGACTCCTAATCGAATTATAACGTGATCTCGCTCAAAGAGTTGCAAGTGGCGCGGGGCATGCGTTTTGTGTTACTCCAAAATTTAATCACCTCTTCTCTTTATCGAGTTATCTTGCGAACGGCCGGATGGACGCACGATCGGATGGGCGAGCAGTTGTTATTTGACTTGAGAATTATAACAAAGTAAATATTTTCGTCGTATAATAAAATACATATTGGTTCGGGACTTTGGGTTTAAGTACATAATATACTTACAACAATGATTAGATTACGGATTACGTTATTAATTAGTAATACTATTAACATCAGTATGGAAACTTTAAAAACTGGTTTTTGGTTATAGGTTACAGTTGAGATTACAGTACCCTTATCTAGTGTTTGTTAAAATGGAAGATTGGAAGCAAAAGTTTGCATTACCGACCCGTTTTAAACAGCAAAAATTGGTTCGATGGTATGTAAATAATATACATAATTTCTACAATGTGGCATCTGTTGCACTTAGTTTAAATAGAGCGAGATAAGTTGATTTTAATTCAAGTATTAATTTAATGAAATAGTGAAAAGAACCTGAAAAAATTGATCGTTATCTTTATATAGGTAGTACCATTGAATAAAAATAGTGTTTTTATTCAATGGTAGTACGTAGATTAGACGTAAGCGTAAAGTTCAGTAGAATATATCAACAAATTCTAAAATCACAAAACAAAACCTCAACTTTTATTGGCGTAGGTAATGTTGCTACAAAATTATCGGTATAGGTACCAAAGTACACACATTGTTTCCACTTATTTATTATTACTGTTTATTATATTGTACAAGATGTCTCAGAGAGATTTGCACCAAGTTTATTTAGTTCTTTAAAACGATTCTTTTGTAATGTGCAAAACAAGAATTGGAAATTTAACACCAGAATTGACATTAACATTTCACAACAAAATATATTTTTAACTTCTAAGTAAACTCGGTTGATAAAACCAGTGGCGATAGCTAACACACATTTTAATCAAAATGACAGAACTTTCCGAGACACCTTATAATAAATGATTTGAGATGAGCAGCAGAAGAACAATACTACAATTATTTTAAAAGAGAAATAAAGTGTAGGTAGTTTTTTCAAAATAATCTTGAAGGGCAATGACAAGATTTCCTATATTTTGCACTTTTCCTTGCCAGTCTCCAACCTAAATTTATGCTTTTCAAATTTAAATGAGGTATGTCTGTTTGAATTCAATTTCGCAACCATCAACATGGTCGCCTATAGTCGCAAGCAATACAGAACAGAAGTCTAAACTAGCTGAAAATTGAGCCGCTGCGCTGGTTGCAATCCGCGAATACCAAGAAAAAAATTTAAGGACATTATGAAGATTACAATTAGTTACTTAAAGTGTTTGGCAAATAGAAACATATTATACACGGCGTTTGTAACGGTAGTTTCCAGTATAGTATTCATTTTTTTTTCGATTTTAGTGGTACTTAGGTACGGGCCGGACTTTTTAAAATTGTGCGTTGAAGCTTAAGGCCTCTTAGATTCTTGAGATATGGCGAGATTGTTGAATGTACTTTTGGTTTGTGTAACTGACTGAATGCGCTCTTAGTGTGCCAGGAGTTGGTACCATGGGTCACTTTTGCTTTTGTCGTTGGAATGACAAGTATATTAGGAAATTCCAGAGTCATCGCGTTGAAATTGTTTAAATTAATTATAATCTAAGCGTCTTTACACTAATGGGATGTGGCTGTATCCTTTTTATGTAAAATTATTTTCATAGAATTCCTCTTTCTTAACATGTTTCTTTTGAGGTTATGTTTTAATTTAATTATCTGTCTTTGTTTTACCTATGTCGCAATCCGAAACCCATTTAAGATCAAAATCCTCAAATTCCAAACGAAATTTAACAATATTTGACCAACATTCAAAATGAACTTTGGGCAAGAATCTAATAAAATTAATCGTGATTTGAACATGGAACTTCTTTGGTCGTTATTAATGAAGGGTTCGAATTAACACACAACTTGCGTGAAATTACACACATACTTTTTTTACAGTGACTTGAGGTGACAAAAAATCCGAAAGGGGTTTGCAACCACATATCATCAATTAAAATATAACGGAGCTCACGGACACAATTGATGAACTCCAGCGCGCACAGATTTGGTCCTGCATGTAGCAAAAACCTCCTCTGAGAAACAGCACTAACGAAATCCAGGCCGGCCTTTAACTAATAACAAAACTCGAACTTGATTATCGTTCTTCTTCAAACCAAAAACGTAATCGGCCACGAAACGGGCGGAAATAAACTCATTAGTTTCTTCTAACAAGCCGCACTGGAAAAGTGCAAATTATAAATTAATATATAATATAATAATATTAAAATAATATAATTAAAATAATATAATAAATTATATTAATTATAGACGGCTGTGATTTGTCGCTGGAAAAGTTGCAGGTAACTTTTGCCGCTGTCAAAGTGACAATTGCACTGCGGTTTATGCGATTTTTTATACATGAGTTGAATTGTCGTAGATAAAGTACAGTATATTACTCACAATAATGGCTATTATACTCTCGGAATTTTACTCCCTCGCGGCTCAGTTCGTAAATATTCCTCGAGAATAATAGCTATCATTATTGACTCGTGATATAATCTACTATTATCTTTCACAATTAAAAGGAAAACAACTCGAACTGTCACATTAAGCTTACAAGCAAATTGATATCAATTTTTTTAACTTAAGAATTTCCAGAAAAGCGTTATCATGAAACAAAAAATAAACAAATATAACCTTGACTGCACGCTCGTATTGGGAAATTGTTTTTTTGTTAAAAAGTAGCCAGACCCACCATTAAACAAAGAAATCAAAATTTTGATGAATTTAATTAACGATTAAACCCCCAAGTTCATTCTAAATGTCCCAATTTCAAACACAACGTTAGTTTTGATTACACAGCAATATATCCAGCTATATTTACAGCATTAGTAAGCGGCAGAGCAAAGCGATGCAAGCTTTATAGGTGAGTCGATGGTGTCCATCTGTCCGTCTGTCAGTCCGTGAACACGATATCTGTCAAACGCTTTGGCCGATTTGGTTCAAACTTTGCACAGTTGACCAATATACCACAAGTAATAAGCGTATTGAAAATGGAACAAATCCAATGACCTCATAGGGTCACGCCTCTCTGTCTCTGGCAAACGCTTGAACCTATTCGGTTCAAACTTTGCACAGTTAACATACCATGTAACAAGTCAATTGAAAATGGGTCAAATCCAATGAGCCCCTAGGGTCACACCGAGGTGCTCTGGCGCATTTTTAGATGCTCTTTAGGGGTTTATTCAACCATGTGATTGCAAATGCAACTAGGTACATCATAACTATTCTGCAGAACAATGCTCTTAAAAGTATCAATTATTCAATTCCAGACTGTACCTATGTGCTATTGTAATGCAATTTTATTATTCATAATAAAAATATATAAATTAAATTATTAACACCAAAAGATATCAATATTAACAACAACAACGAGCCAAATGTTCTTATCGTACAATGTGTTGTAAGCGATTAGAACAATTGAGCTCCACCGTACTGCTCATTTATTAGTAGTTTTTTTACTTTTAGGGAGGAATGTCCCCCATCTCACATTAGCACTCATCATGTGGATTTATGGAGAGGGTGCCCTGATTATCTACATTCACCGGAATTTGTAACAGCTCTGAAAGAAGTAGTGAAAAGCGGCGACGTTGCCTTACATCAGTATACAAAGGGAGTGGTGAGATCTAGATACTGTAGTGTAGAGTGTAGGGTGTAACGGATAGCCTTGTTATTGCTGAACTGCTATAAAAACCATTCTATGTTAACAATGCAGTCCTTGCAGCCTTAGGTATAGCAATAAGCTAATTTGGATTTTTGGAACTGTGGTGCTCGTTCTTCCCACTTATGAAGCTTTACCTTCATACACGAATTCTATTGCAGGGACATCCTCGGCTTGTATCAGTGTTGGCTAAAATTTATTCCAATTTATTGAAACGATGTATCGATCCCTTCGATAATATTTTGGTTTGTATGGATATCTACGGTGCGATGACAAACACAATATTGAGTCATATCACAAATGGCGACGAAGTAATAATCGTTCAACCATCATCTGATTTTTACGAATACATAGTCGGAGTGGCAGGGGGTGTAACAAAGTTTGTCCCATTACGGTTGGTAAGTGGGTTTTGTATTTGAGAAGTAGGTATAAAAAAATATGAAGTTCAGAAAGAAAATGTAACAACACCTTCCTCGGGCGATTGGGTATTGGAAGATTTGGAATTAGAAAAGATGTTTACTTCCAAAACGAAATTGATTATTCTTAGTAGTCCAAATTGTCATGTCGGAAAAGTATATACATTGAAGGAATTGGAAACCATTTCAAGATTATGCAAGATGTGGAACGTGGTTTGTGTATCAGACGAAAGTGAAGAATTTTTGGTTTACCAACCACAACGCTTTATTAGAATCGGTAAGAGATATATAAACCGCCCCACGACAAATGTTGGCTATCAGCGTCTCGAAAGAGACCTCGCAAGGTTTTGAAATATTTGCGTTTCAATATCTCTATTATTAAGCGAGATCCGAAAAATTTGTTATGTAGAATTTTATATATGTGACATTTCTGGTTTAACCAGAAATCGATGCAACTTTTGTTTTTCAAATGCGATGCCTATGTTTTTTTTTAATATTGAAAAGAGCAATAATATGCTGTACGACGACATAAAATATGCATATGCTTGAAATACAAATAAATTGAAAAATTCACGATTCAATATTTGGAAAATTTCAAATATCTTAAAAAAAACATAGGTAGGTATTGCATTTGAAAATCAAAAAAAGTATTGATTTCCGGTTAAACCGGAAGCGATACCGGAAGTTTGAATATGCGAGCCCGAGCATATATATCGTAATGTCACATATAAAATGTTATTTAACAAATTGTTCGTATCTCTCCAAATAAAAAAGATATTGAAGTGACCCTATTATCTGAAACGCACTGTATACTATAATGTCATTGTACATCTATTAGATACAATGCTAATATCATTCACTAATACCACAGACAACAGTTGTCTGTGCTAATACCCTTATTAGTTAATGCTTATATCAAATTCATGTAAATATTTTCAATTTGGTAGCACTTTCGATTTTGGCGTAAGTTGATGCCAACTTGCTTATTAAGCGGCAGAGTAAAGCGATGCAAGCTTTATAGGGGAGTCGATGGTGTCCGTCTGTCCGTGAACACGATAACTGTCAAACGTTTGGACCGATTTGGTTCAAACTTTGCGCAGTGAACCTACATGTCACAAGTAATAAGCCTATTGAAAATGGGTCAAATCCAATTACCCCTTGGGGTCACGCATCTCTGTCTCTGCCATACGCTTAAACCTATTTAGTTCAACCTTTGCCCAGTTGACCTATATGCCACATGTAACAATCAAATTGAAAATGGGTCAAATCCAATTACCTACTTCGTGGCGTCACACCGAGGTCCTCTGCCGCTTTTTTAAACGCTCTTTATGGGTTTATTTTGAAAGAAACACTGTTCAGTTTATTAACGAGCTCCTAGCGAGTTTATAATTTTGCGGTGTTTGCCCGTCCGTTAGCACGATAACTCAAACGAATGAACCGATTACGATGAAATTTTTTAAGTGGATGATTTGTCAAATTTGTAGATCGGAGTTCGTGAATTGGCAATGTAGGCCAAAAAATAAAGAAAGCCCTTTTGTCATCTCCGTTAGTTATGAACCGAATTGCACGAAATTCAAAATGAGCGTAGCGTTAGCCATACAATACGTAATGTCAAGGTCAAGCCTAGCCATACCATTGACTTTATATACTATAGACAAACGGTGTAGGCTTAAAAAATGGCAACACAAATGGAGCTGGAAATGTTAGTATGGAGCTGGGCCACCAAATCGTCGCAGCGCCACTCTCGTTGTTATTACGTCATTAATAATTATTGTACCTACAAGTGCATGCACAGTGACAGTGACAGGTATTGACATTGACAAACGCGGATTAGTAAGAACGCAAACTTTGCATAAAGCTAAACCTCCATGGCATCAAGGAGAAAAGGAGTTTGTCATAAAGTTATACTACAAGTCTCTGGCAACACACAAATTTCTGGAGGCAAAATATCGTGTTGCCCACAATATCTACCTTAAAAGAATGGATTTCGGCATCTAAATCCACTACAGGATATAATTCAGCATAGTTCGAACAAATTAAACTAAAAAGTTAGTATGTATACTTTATCGTCAAGAAAGAGTGGGTGTTATTTGCTTCGACGAAATGTTCAGAATCGCCATCATGTTCATCTTCTGCATTTTTTCAGTCGTCATTAGAAAACCCCATCTTGGACATTGAAGTTGATAACACTAGGTACATTACTGGAAGAGTGAGTTGATCTACTTTGCGATCGAAAAGTTTAATTGCACATGATGCGAACAATTTCTCAGAAAACCACATCAAACCTTAATGACGCCAAGGAACTATTAATTTTATACAAATCCTTTGAAATTAGGAAAAAAAGGCTGAGTATCGGCCATATCTGTTAAATTGTTGCTAAGAACTTTAAATTTTGTAAATGGTCTTTGTAATACTGTTAAGAGTAGGTAGTTCAAACAAAAATGTACAGAATCAAAAATTAAACGAATGAA